AACACCAGTTTAGGGAGAGACTGGTCTCTTCGATGGTAATGTGGAATTTCCACTGCTGGCTCAGGGTCACCAGTGAGGATGAGCGTTCTTCACTGCTCATGTTACCAGGAAGGCGCTTTGCCAATTTGCTGTGAGCATTAAAAACAAGGAGTGTCGCGACCGTCGATGAGGTTAACATCTATTCTTCGTTCACAATGCAAAAAAAAAATTGTCGTGTTTTCGTTCATTTTTAAACAATGAACGTCAGATAAGTGGACGCCAATCGATTTGCGTCATAAACAATGCACTCGTGTTACAGGTCAGGCGTGGCGGAGAGCAATACAACCAAATGTAAAATAAGTGAGACAAACGATCAACTAGACTCTCTTTAAACCTCTGACCGTCGGGATTGCCAAGTTCACAATCCATGACAGACGACAGAGATGGCTCCACTGCTTTGTGCACAGCCCCAAGATGTCAGCATGGTTCAGCTGCCAGCCTCGCGCAGCTCCACTGACAATTATTGTGGGGACCACAAACTGGGCTTCCAGTAGCTCGACTCGGCCTAAAATAAGTAGCCGGTTCGAGTACTGTGGTCAACAATAGCACGAAGGCGGCCAGATGTATGTTGTGCTGGCCACTCTTAGGCAGTGCCGGCTCACAATAGGCGCTCGCTAACAGCAATTATCCCAACAGTCTACGCGGCTCAACACATTTTTAGTGACTGCTTAAGTTAAGTGGATTTGGATTGTTATTTTTTTCCTCTAAAGGACAATAATATTTGAAAGATAGTATTACATTAGTCTCGTTCGTCAAATTGTTAGCACATCTTCGTAAAGTAAAAGCTGCTGTGGTTGGGTATTTTTAAAACGTCGAGTTCTTAATACGGAGTTGGCAACAGAAAATGAAATTGATGATCGTGAGCCCCATGTGTTGGCAATGGCATGGGTGATCAGAGGCTAATGAAAGGTGTTAATCATGTTGGACGCAACATAAGGCAACACACAAAGGATTTAGTTTAAACTCGATGACAACTGCTTTAAATGGCAATAAACAACTTAATCCAACACGGCATAAATCAGAGGGCTATCTTGGAACACAGCCTTCAGTTCCACATGCATGCATCGACACATCGACAAGACAATTAAATATTCACTGGAGCAGATGCGTGTACGCGTAGAGTCCTTTGTGTGTTAATCCGCTGCTGAACGAAGAACTCTCCATGGAGTGTGGGCCGTGAGAGGTTGATTGACCATACTTCACCACGCTGGTGTGTGTGTGTGTGTGGGATATTATAATCATCCATGCCGTGACTTTAAAGTGCGACGAAATGATAACCACGTTGCATTTCCTAAATAGGATCTATCTCCGTATGTCACATTCCATAAAATATCAAAGAGTAACAGACTGTATAGAATATTAAAGCGTGGGCCTGGACATGCATGAATGTCTCTCCCCACGATTGACTCAACGACTTCAACGAGAAGAGCTCTGCTGAGTGTCTAGTACACACAGCAGCGGTATATACAAGGTCGACATTTATATGTTCATGCAGTTCAGAGAGAAATAGACATTTTGCTGCTGAAAATTACCCTCTGTTGTGCTCACAACCAGGATTTTAAAGTGTCCGTGTGGCTCTCTGAGTGTTAACCCGTCACTTGCTGCGCGTGCATTTTTCTCCAGGCCTACTCTGGTTACCTTGGATGTTTGCGGACAATAAAGTGAACCAACATTGACCAGGATATGAGCTTACTGCCCTGACAGGGCGCTAAACAAATGTGAAATGGAACAGAACATCTGAGTTACTGCCGGCCTATATCTCCGTATTCAATCTCGTCCTCATTTGCAAAGCGCTGCAGAGTACAGCATCCACGTCCCGGCTTATTGTTGCACACAGAGTTTGGCGTTAGCAGTTGTGCGAGGGCTCCTTGCAAAATCGAGTGCGATCGTTCGCGATATTTTTACAGAGAGATTTATTTAGTGCGGCGGCAAATCAAGTTGATGGCCTAGATCGTGAATTCACGGTGATATAAAGTCAAGGATTAATCAATTATGAATTCGATTGGCTGTGTTATTATATGAACAGGAGGCATGGCTCATGATTCAATTGAGCGAATTTCATTTTAACATATTGTTTTTCTCAATGGTAGAATTACTATGCAACAAATAATTACGAACGCAATGTCTTCATTTACAGCTTTCAATGTCAGATGGAATGACGTTAAAGGATTTAAATAATTTATTCACTCTCACAGATTATTTAAAAGCGTTGTTACTTTGAAAAATGTCACGTATCTTTATGAATATCATCACGATCATCAACATCATCGTTGTCACCATCATCAGCTTTGATCTATTCGCTGCTGGATGAAAGTCTACCCCCCCCCCAGGCCATCGCCATCTCTCATGGTCGTGCACTGCAATCGGCAGTGTTTAGCACGGTGCTTTGATTGACAACCTTTTGTGGATCTCAAAGTGACACTCACAGGAATCTCAACAAAATAAAACAAAGTAAACCCCCGAATCACCTCGGCCCAGACAACATCTATTTTACTTGCTCATACGACCCGAGTCGTTACATTACGTTTGACCCGCCAGTAAAAGCGAATAATGCAATGACCTAGATTCATAAAGTATGCTATCACAAAATCCACTCTTTCATTCTGTTGCCAAATACAGAAGCTGGTATCACTAAATATTCACCACAGCCTGTGGTGCTCATTCTGCTCTGGTCCATGGACGCGTGTTTGTCATGTGGAAGGAAACCGGTTTACACAAGATAAAAAGCGCAAAGCTTCGCACAGATAGATTCAATAATCCATCGCTATACTGAAATCTCTTAGACACGTAGCAAACCCGAAGCCTACAATGCACGGTATGCCAAAGCTTCAGCTGGTATTGCCACACACGTAAAATGTTAAATTAATGCCCTGCTGCGTAGAGTAGAAACTCACCCTCCTTGTGTATTCGAGGGTTTGTATGCATCTAGAGGGCTTGCCACGGTCTAACAGAACACTTTTCATCATCTCAATTATCGTAATATTGCATACGAGTATTATATGGCCTGATTTTCATGTCCGGTATAGTCATTACTATCGTGTATCTGCTAACAGCCACTTTATAGTAAATCTCCATTAGAATAATTAGTCTGATCATTTCACAACACTGGGGATATTTTAATTCCATTTTCAATCCCCGTGACACAACAGAAGACGGAGATGATGTCACCGCATCGTTTTAGCACTTCGCTGTTGTCGAGTGCTAAATTTAAGCGGTGAATGTAACACCGTAATTTTTTCAGCCCCAAGTGTGGACATTCATAGCGGAGAGCAAGTCTTCCTAACGGCGTGCGCCAAACCCCCTCACGGAAAAACATTTAATCGGATCCGACTGCCCTGTCTAGCGACTGTGCCCTGCCATAGCAATGTGGAACTTCCAACCGCTTTCACAGTGTCGAGATGTTAACTACCTCGCCTTGTATGCAGGAGGTCGTGGGTTCAAATCCCGACCCTGACGCCCGTATATTTGGAGTTTCCTTTCTGTATGGGATAGAGGGTTAGACCCTCTCATACGTCAGTTTTCTCTGGGTGCTTCGGTTTCCTCTCACAGGTATTAACACACATTCATTGGGAAAAAAAAAACATTTCAGTTTATAGAGGACAGCAGAGCTTGGGCAATTATTGGCACTGGCTCGCTGCCTTTCAGCTTGTCTGTGGTTCCACGGCGATTGTGAGATGCAATTTGCGTGGACGATGCCGTATGAAACTGCGCATTATTACAAAACAAATCATGTAGAGTGCAATCGTAGTATGCTTAAATTGTATACAAAGTATTTTACTCAGAGCCAAGAGGGATCACATTAGGACCCTCCCTCCCTTCAGAGATAAACCACCACACAAAGAACACTTCGCTGTGCATGCCCAAATCTCTGTGTGTGCTTGCCACACAAGCGCGCATCGCTCCGCTTTTATGGCCGGAGCAGCGACATTCCCTTCATTTCCAAAATTGGCATTTACCCCGAATCTTGGGCCAATAAAACGATTCCAATCTTCACGGCAAACATCCCCATTGCCCCATCGTTAGGCATCGGGCAGCAGCAGCAGCAGCAGCGTCACGGCCGCTGCAGTTCGTCGAGCGGACAGCGGACGTCACAAAGCGCACGCGCCGACAAATTCACCGGTGCCCGCCAATCACCGGGAGCGGGCACGGTGGTACCGGGTACCGGAGCACGGCGACGCTCAGCCGCCCCGTAATCCTCAACACGCAGGCTCGCTGCCCGCTCCGCGTGTGTGAACGCAGCGTGGAGGGTTCACGTGGGTTCACACGCCGCCTCCCGTGTTCAAGGCAGTGCAGTACTGTCCTCAGGGTGTGCCAGTTCACCAACCACCCCCCAACCCACAGCCCCCACCACGTGGCCATGAGTTGATGTGGGTCAAGGCCACTAGTCGAATCGAGCATCTATTAGTTCCGTCTCGTTCTTAACATTCAGGAACGTGGGCGGGGCAGGGTGCACTCTGGTGAACTCACTCGAGTGGGTGGCACCACTCGAGTGGGTGGCACCACTCGCCCATATTCCAGGGCTGTCCATGAGGGGTTGCTGGATCACAGACTCCAGCGTGAGGCTCTCTAGCCCGCTGAGCTGTGAGATGGCCCAACGGGCGGCAGTCCAGCAAGTGAGGTCTGTGAACCTGTGAGTGTCAGCCCATCCGCGGGTGGGTTTTCCCACTTCTTAAAAAGTTGCGGAAAGTACAGCTGTGTGTTCTTGAATCCAACCGTGTGGAGCCTTGAGCGTCACTCCGCTCAAGTTTGTGAGTTTTCTACAACATCCCCCCCCCCCCCATCCACAAGCCAAATGCACATTCATGGCCTGGCGACCCACGTCAACAACACAGGACAGTCCTCGAAAGGAACCTCGAGGCTCGGTCAGAGCTTGTCGTGGACAAATAAACAAACGCGAAATTTGAACACCATCATCATCATCATCGTCGCCATCAGCGGGGGTGCCGTTGGGAGACACGTACCTGGCATCGCGGCGAGCGGGATGGCAGGGATCACCCGGGGAGAGTCGTTGTCCTCCACGTAAAAGTGCGCCGTTTGAAAGCATTTTCTGGAAAAGAGGAGCCGGGGGCGGAAATGACAAGTGCGTCAATAAAGTCGCACGCACACAGAGAAGCCTCATCATTGACAAAATTCAACATTCAAACAAACCTCCGGAGCCCGACGCTTCCAAGCTCCTGCGGAGACGAGACCGTAAACGAGACAGGGGGCTAAATATTTTGAGTCGAGGGTCGCACCTGAGCGAGGAAGCCCATTCCATTATTAGGGCTCGGTGCACGCAGAGAAAGTTATTTGGCAATATTTAGTCGTACCACATGGCACTGATAATAACTGCACATTTGTTGACCCTCATCTCGACAGTGAGCGGAGGGAATGGTAAACCTCAGTGGGAGATGTAAGGCAAAAAAATGTATGTTTTCACTTGTTTGGTTGGGTTCACATCTCCACTTCATTGCATTGCTACGATCGTCGGGGCAACGGGCGAAGCCGAGCGAAGTGCAAATTCAGTTCTTGATAAGTGGCATGGAGAAATTATTGCCATATTGGCCGACCCCAGTCACAGAGCGGACAGCAAGTCAAGGCAAAAGAAGCAGAGGGAGACAGCGTACGAGATGGCAGCAGCGAGACACCGTTAGAGGGTTCAGAGGTCACTACTGAACAAGGAGGAAGGAAAGGATGGTAGAAAATCGATGGTGGCTTTTCCCGGCAGTAAGAATTTACAGCCTCGCGACAACAACAATGGCGATGACAAGGACGTCCACGTGGGGGCTCATCGAAAGCCAGTGTCACACTCTACTTATTGAGCTTGTGGTGGAAATTGCACATTCTCATGGCAAGGTCCCGTCTATCCATGACTTCACGCAGAGTCGTGCAGCCTTGTAAGGTGAAGCTCAATTCACTGTCACTGGAGGAATGATGGTGGGGCTGAGTTCATCGTTGTCTGGATTTGAACTTATGTTTTCAAGACGGAGTGGGCTTGCTGCTCTTACCAGCTGAGCTACATGAGTGGACCGATGCATTGTGGGATATCCAATGTCGTGTATATGCGATTGTCACCCCTTGTCTTGCCAAACTATATTGGCAACAGATTAACAATTGCACGCATTATTGTCCAAAGAAATTGTATAAAGGACTTGTACAAAATAAATAAATTGTACAAAACATCACCAACTATCAGCACAAACGTCGCATTAATTTAACGAAATGTATTTTCAAATGCATTTAAGCCATACAATTCAATATTGTGTTCCTTTAGAAAAAAGTATGCTGCAGACAAATGTTTTCATTATCATAAGTACACAATTTTGTCGTACATTCAGCCGATGACGTAAAGCACTGCAGTGGCTTAACTGCCCATAATGTACGCACGGCTGGTGTACCTCTGCCAAAACAGTTCAGCGTGTTAGAGCGGCCAACGAGTTGGTTAATTTACTAAAAATGTGCACGTACAGCGGTCGCTGTATGACTATTTTCCCTTCATGGGAGAGCCAGTCGAGATAGGTTCACTCGTACGGACGGATTCACGTCTATGCAAGGGACTGCATCTATCAGCCCATTGGACAATGATAGGTGAAGCACAAACATAACTCACGGTTGCTATGATTTAACAATTGCTTATTTTAAAACAACATTAAATGGGTCGTTTAGGAAGTTTCACAACCGCATCTGGCGCCCTGAGATGGATATTTCCCCACATTTGAATGTTTACAATCTCACAAGTGAATGATGTGTAAATGGGCAGGAGGGCGATGTTCAGCGGTTAGCGCACTGCCTCGAATCAGCGCAGCCACCTGAGTTCGATTCCTGGCCATGGCGAACATCGCTGGCGAGTGATGTCTCATCGGGCCCTTCTCCGTCAACCGGCACCGATCAGCCTGGTCACGTTTGATCAAACAACTCCCAAGATTGACGTGGCATTGGGGAGGCCTTCATCCAGCAGTGGATTGATAAAGGGGTGTGAATGATTAGTATTAATATTAGGCACGATATAATTAAATGAAGCTATGTTTTTTTAAATAAAATGTTGCAGTGACAAACCAAGTAACCGTGCTCTTAATGCATGCGCTCATTTTGTTCGCGAAGTGATGGCTTGAAAATTACATGAAATGGGCTAATATACGTTAGGTAAAGAGATGTTGATGCTGCAGTGCACGGTAGGGTAGAGCCTATTGCTTTAGACTTTTGGGAACAAGAATAGTGACGTGTGATTGTGTTATTATCCTACTTTTTATGAAAAAGTTTCACGCTGAAAATGAATAAAAAAAACCCAGACCAAAGTAGCCCAGCCCACTCATTCAAAAACAATTTAAACACACAATGTTACCTGCACGCACGTTGCATGTAACACATATGTGACATTAACGTAGAATTTTCAAGAAAAGAAAAGTTACTTCTGCAGTATAACTGCTCGAAGCAGTGCAATAGTGGGATGCTCACATCCGTTTGTGGGCCGGAACAAGTCGTTGAAATTCCAAATTTCTCTCGTGCGAGTCAGACCCCCCCCCCACCATAAGTCGACCGCTGGTGAATTCCCACAACGTGGTACCTAAATTTATCATGCCAGAGTGATGATGGATTTTGTTGACTCGTGACCGGAATTGGAACTTATGGCTCCTTCACAACGCCCCCATCACTCATCCCACCACTCCTACACAACACATCCCACCACTCCTATAACACACACCCCACCACTCATCCCACCACTTCTACACCACACACCCCACCACTCATCCCACCACTCCTACACCACACACCCCACCACTCCTACACCACACCCACCACTCCTACACCACACACCCCACCACTCATCCCACCACTCCTACACCACACACCCCACCACTCTACAACCACACACCCACCCCCTACACCACACCCACCACTCCTAACACCAACACACACAACCCCACCACTCATCCCACACTTCTACAACCACCACACCCCACCACTCATCCCACCACTCCTACACCACACACCCCACCACTCCTACACCACACCCACCACTCCTACACCACACACCCCACCACTCATCCCACCACTCCTACACCACACACCCCACCACTCCTACACCACACCCACCACTCCTACACCACACACACACCACTCATTCCCACACTTCTAAACCACACACCCACCACTCATCCCACCACTCCTACACCACACACCCCACCACTCATACAACACCACACCCACCACTCCTACACCACACACCCCACCACTCATCCCACCACTCCTACACTACACCTCACCACCACTCCTACACAACACACCGCCTCCCTCCTCTCTTAAGACGCCCCCCCCCGCATCACAGACAATTCATGAAAGTGTCCGATCCACAACTACACGCAGGCGAGGGCACACACGGGGCTGGCTCCCACGCCACCACGGGGCGAGACGAACGCGACGTCGCGGCTCTTTCAGCAGAAGCTGTCGCAGGGAGAGAGTTCCTCCCCCACCACACGCCCCCCCACATGTCTGAGAAAGCTGCGGTCACAACAGCAGCAGCAGCATCAGCAGCAGGGGTGCAAGTGACCACCGAAGCCAACACAACGCGTGCTCAATGAAGAGGGAAGACGGCGTCGTCGTCGTCGTCATCATCGCAGCGAGAGCCTGGAAGCGCACGGGGGCCCAGACCCAGCCGAGGCACCGCCACCAACACCGCTCGTTCCAAAGCCCCCCCCCCCAACGCGAGCCCCCCCCCCCCACGCACCCCCTACCTGTACTTGACACAGAGCGCCGTGCACACGCTGGACAGCAGCGAGAGGAGCCACGAGACGCGCGAGGACGCGAGGCTCAGCAGGATCTGGACGCGGCTGCTCGCGGCGAGGCCGCCCACGCTGGGCATGCCGCCTGGAGCGCGCCGGGCACGCGGAGGGTGCGGCTGGACCGGCGGTAATACTCGCGGGGGAGAGGGGGAGAGACGACGCGGAGACGCAGAGAGAGAGTCGGAGGAGGAGGAGAGGCTTCGGAGGGGAGGGGACCCGATTTGCATAATGCACAACGCGAACAGCGAAGGATTAGCGCGCCACGTGTTTGCTGCTGACGTCTTTGTGTTCGATTGGCGTTTGTAGATTTGTTTTTTATTCAACACCGGCTAGTGTTGTCATCGTGGAGCTGGGTGGGTGTGGAGGCGAGGCGCAGTCCATTGTCTTGAAGCCTCGCGGCCCGAGGGATGCCGCTGCTGCTGCCGCTGTCTCGGGCGCCGGGCGCGCTGCAGACAGAGCGAGATGCGCGCCTTGAGAAGGGACGGCGGCGGAACGTCGCGTTGACGAGAGGCGGGGCGAGGGAGGCTTTCGTGTCACACGCACGCCGATGTAACGACTCCGAGTGGAGTGTCAAAACATAGCGGGGGGATGAATATGAAATCCTATGTGCTCGTGGAATATTGTTTGAACACAGCTGACGACGGCGGAATATCTTTTTTTCTCGCGTGAACTTTTTGGTTTGTCTTTCAACCTCACCGCTGCACAGCGTTGAATGAGAATGATGAGGCGTGCTTGGGTTGTCGTCACAGTGAGCCGAGGTCGAGACGGAGGAGGCGGCGACTTTTAAAACGACCAGGTGCCGAACACGGGAGCCGGAGACAACCCCGTCTTGTGCGCCGTGCGCGCACGGGAGACACGAAGATGAAACGGGCACGCAGAGCGAGGGGGGGGGGCACTTTGGTTGACGTTGCTGATGCTGCTCCGCACGGGCTGAGCAACAGCGGTGTTGGGACGTGGAGGGTTTCGATTTAAAGCTTTCGTGACTGCAGGGATTCATCTTCTTGGTTCTTTCGGTAAAGTCACGTAGAAGGGAAGTAATAAAATAATAAAAATAAAACGTCGTGAGAATTATTTTATTATGTTTTATTTTTATTATTTTATTACTTCCCTTCTACGTGACTTTACCGAAAGAACCAAGAAGACGTGGAGGGTTATTGATCATCGATTGCGACGACGGAGATGTTTTGCGCGGGCACGCTCGCGGCAGACTCATTCGGCGTCGACGTCGTTCACGGACGGACGTGTTCATTGAGAGGCACGTGACAGGTGACGCGTGAGCGCGTGGCGAAGCTGAACCCATCGTCACAATGGGATGTGCTCGTAGCGGATGAACGAGTAGTTGATGTGGATGTTTGGGTTCAACGAGGAAAGGCAGGGCGAGACTTGAAGAAGCGAGAGGAAGACCACCCCCCCCCTGGTGGTAGAAATCGCGAAGATGAGAGACAGAAAGGGCTCTGGTGTGGTTCGATCGTGTTGAGAGACGACAGGGAAATTATGTGGGTCAGAAGGTGGCGAGTGATGCGAGCGGAAGGAGAGAGATCAAGAGCAGAAGAAGGCAGAAGAAGAGGCGACGGCGGTAGGGGGGGGGGGCGATGTGGCGCAGGACAGGGCAGCGTGGAGATGACTGGCAAGGGCAGCCGGGCAGCCCGAACGCGAGTGGGACAGACGCCTGGAAGTAGAAGAAGAGGAAGAAGTCTCGCAGAAGTCTGCACGGCTGTGAATGAACTCTGGGCTGAATGTAGGAGGTGGGTGGGGGGGACTCGGTTTAAAAATGTGTCACGTTTACAACCTCGTGACCAAATGATCGCGTCTATAAAGTGCACGCACGTTTCAAAATAAAAACAAGGCGGTATGCAATTCTGCACAAACTGCAAGCAGCGATGACACGTGGGTGAGCAGTCACCCCCCGGCACACGTCGCTGCCGCTGTGCCTCGCAGCTGACCTGAGCGCTTGACCGGCAAGCGTGGGCTGGCAGCCAAGACGAACGTTCGACGAGATACGCGCATTAGGCAATCCCCACTTTCCGTGCGTCGATACGACACGGTACGGGGAATTCGAGATGTCTGGCCCATCGGTAAAAAACGACGGATGCGTCGGCATGGATTTTGTTGTTTAAAACAGTGAACGAGGCTGTTCGTTTCTCGTCAATCATCGCTGCTTTCGGTTTGTGCAGAATTGCATGCCGCCTTGTTTTTATTTTGAAACGTGCATGCCTTTATAGACGCGATCATTTGATCAAGAGGTTGTAAACGTGACATTTAAACCGAGCCCCCCCCCGCCATCTCATACATTCAGCCCAGAGTTCATTCACAGCCGTGCAGACTTTTGTTTGTTGCGGTTGCACCCGATTCAAGAGCCGAATGGCTCACAGGGCTATACCTAATACATAAACTGAACTGAAGTCAAAACGTACTGCTGTATCTCTGGACTGTACCGCTGTTTAAAAACATGCAGTGTCCCAAGTACCCTCTGAAGCACTCGACATCGCTAACCTGCAGTGCCTGTTTATAAGACACGGTGTCAAATCCACATTGCCATGGCAGTGACTCGTCGAGACTTTAATATGACCCTTAAGTGACTTCCCAGGGATCGTGCAGCCTCACCACGTGACGCTCATTTTGCCAACCCCAGACGATAGATGGAGGGATGATGATGATGACGGTGAAAATTATTTTATTAAAGTAATTAATTACGACAAGGCCTCGCTGATCAATCATTATTATTATCATCATCCACCAGTCGTGGGATGCCACGTGGCATCGTCCTGCTGCGCACAGCGGTGATCCTTGAGAATGAATTCTCTCCTTTGGCTGCCAATCTGTAACCAGTCTCATCCATCGGCCACCATCTCTTCCAGCTGCTCTCTGCCCAAGCCCGCTCACTTTCATCACATGGTAGTAAAACTCACGCTGTGCCAACGCAAGACGCAGTCAAACTGAGGCCATATCACCAGTACTGGACATTAAGACGCCACAGATATATATATATATTTTATCTGTTGCGAATCAACTACGCCGACAATTCAATGTGCTACCCTATAACGAGTACGTAATCTTGCGGCTTACAACAAAAATGAATAACATTATTCTTAATCACACCACCAAGAGCAGGCCTTGCACACGTCCACACACACACACACGCGCACACGTTCACACACACACGCACACACGTTCACACACACGCACGTTCACACACACACACGCACACGATCACACACACACACACACACGTTCACACACACACGCACACGTTCACACACACACACGCACACGATCACACACACACACGCACACGTTCACACACACACGCACACGTTCACACACACACGCACACACGTTCACACACACACGCACACGTTCACACACACACGCACACGTTCACACGCGCACACGTTCACACACACACGCACACACGTTCACACACACACACGTTCACACACACACACGTTCACACACGCACACGTTCACACACGCACACACGCACACGTTCACACACGCACACACGCACACGTTCACACACGCATACACGCACACGTTCACACACACACGCACACACGTTCACACACACGCACACGTTCACACACACACACGCACACGTTCACACACACACACGCACACGTTCACACACACACGCACACGTTCACACACACACGCACACACGTTCACACACACACGCACACGTTCACACACACACACGCACACGTTCACACACACACACGCACACACGTTCACACACACACACGCACACGTTCACACACACACACACGTTCACACACACACGCACGCACAGGTTCACACACACACACGCACACGTTCACACACACACACACGTTCACACACACACACGCACACGTTCACACACACGTTCACACACACACACGCACACGTTCACACACACACACGTTCACACACACACACGCACACGTTCACACACACACACGCACACGTTCACACACACACACGCACACGTTCACACACACACACACGTCCACACACACACACACGTTCACACACACACACGTTCACACACACACACACGTCCACACACACACACACACGTTCACACACACACGTTCACACACGCACACGCACACGTTCACACACACACACACGCACACGTTCACACACACACACACGCTTCCTTCCCGATAATCTACGCGACGCGATCCTGCTCAATCACTCCTCCGGAGCAGCCGATGATGCTTCTTCTGACAACGCACTGGATTTGTCGTCGACAGAAAGGCGAGAGGAATCTCCCTGGCAGGGCTGCCCGAAGGTGGAACAGCCAATTATTTAGGAAGCACACGCTCGCTGTCATGCCCCTGCTCCCCCCCCCCCAAGGAAACATTCGACTTTAAAGGATGCGTGAGGCCATCCAGGTTAAAAATGCCCTCAACCCAGCTCTCCCGTTTCTGTCTCAGCTGGAATTCACCGTCGCCTGTTTGTTTCTGGTAAATTGAACAGCTCGCGCACAGACACACAGACAAAGATCCCCTCCCCCCTCATAGTAATTCACAAACTCCAGTGGCGAGTGCAGTTCGCGATCAACTACTAAGTCCGGTACGTCACGCGAAGGAGAGGGGTGGCCAATGCCACGCTCGGCCGCCTTTGTCTCCCCAGATGCCGATGCTTACACACCGCAACAGGTACTCATTTGAGGCTGAGTCGACCTAGGGGAGAGGCCCAATACTGGTTCAGATATCAGTGGTATCAATAACGTCAAGTGGTTGTTACATGCGCCTACATACGTGTGGCCAGCGTTATAGCTGAGTGGGGAATATTATAGTTGTGTGGCGAGTGTTATAGCCGAGCGTCGAGCGTCGCTGAACGAGTCGCGTCGATGCTTTCCGTCGCGCACCTCCAGTAGATGAGCACGGAGATGAGCAGCACGAGGCAGAGGAAGGTGAGCGACGAGACGACGAGCAGAGGCACGAAGACGTTGCCCCCCACGTCCACGCCGCGCTGGTGGCTGATGTTCCCTGCACGCGGCCGCACAGAGACACAACGAGGTCACCCCGCTTAACGCTCACCGAGTGGCTCCATCGCGGTCGTCCCGTCGCTTTGTCTGGATGAGAGTTGGAATCCTGACCCCTCGCCCCTGGCTGTGATGCACCAAGGTCTGACCTCGCTCGACTGTTTCACTTTGGCCAGGTAAAGCCCACTGAGCTGCGGGATGTTTTTTTTTCAGAGGCGACCCGGCCACGCACGGTAGTTCATCGAAGTGGCATGACATCGTCGCGTGTGGATATGTTGCGGTTGGCATTTTATTTTTTTAATGTGGAGGGCGAAACCAGAGGCCCCGTAAACAAAATCTACGGCAGGTGTCAGTCCCCCGTGGGACAACCAGAAACAGGTGCCCACCCCAAACCAGGATTTGAATTCACGATCTGACGACCGAGAGTGGAGCGCTGCCACGTTCGGCGAACCAGAATATATACAGCACCGTAGAGACACGAGAAATCGTCCATGATGTTAACTTGATAGCTGTGGTCAAAGACAAAGATCCCCCGTATAGCCTGTAACAGACTGTAGGGGCAAGTGCTGTTAGCGAGCACCTATAAAGGCCGGCACGGCACACGAGGGGGTGGGTGGCCAACACCACGCCCGGCCACCTTTGTCTCCCTAATGGCGATGCCTACACATCGCACCAGGTACTCATTGGAGGCTGAGTCGACCTAGGGGAGGCCCGGTTCAGATAATTGTCACCGGTGTTGGCCGTGAGCGGGAATTGAACTCGGGTCGCCAGGTTCGTAGCGCGGCGTAGCGCTAACCGCTACACCACCGCTCCCGCTGTGGTACCACCACACACACACACACGTGTTGCCAGCAACAATCGGGCCAACAAATATTACGGTGGAACTGAATTATATACTCAGTGGCAGCAACAGTGGCAGCAGAGGGGCGGGGGGGGGGATTTATAATTGTGAACATCCCTTGCGAAGATAGAAGAGTCCTGGTCGCACTAAGTAACCTCACATGCGCAGGTAGGGCTGGACTGGCGCATTTATGTCTCTGCAGGGCTTCTCTCTTAGCGATGATCGGCACACGCGAACGTGCGGCATAATTATACAGCAAGGCGATCGCGTAGGAGTAATTACATCCAGCCCTGCAGTGATCGTACACCGATTAACAGATTGCATCGGTTTGTTCTATCTTGCTGACAAATCCCAACCATCCGGTAGCACTGCACGGACGGGTCAAATTAAATGCGTCAGCAAACATTTGTTTGGACACAAACAGCTGTTTTGCGATAAGCAATTTCAGCTTAATTACATTTGTTTAGGAACACTTTCCCCCCAAAAAGCTGGGATATATTGCTAAAGCCTCAAAGAAATGTAACATTCCTCAACATCTCGTCACTTGTGCGAAACGCTTTGAGTAGCATCTGGTTAATTATGAGGCTGATGTTTAATGATTAGTTTGGATTTCTTAGTAATGAGTGATGACAGTGGTTATGATTAAAATGCAACACTGTAGATGATGAGAAAAACCAAACAACGGCAAGGAATAGGTTGAACACCACACACTGGTCTACTCCTCACAACCAAGCAGGAAGATACAATTCCTGTCGTGTCCACATGCATGTCACATGACATATGTGACATGGATTGTACAAATGTGTATGTATATAATGTACACGAATATAAAATGTTCAGTTCATTGTCATTAAACCCCAAAGTTGCGCAACAACCTTACTGTACGTACTACTCAGATTGTAAATGTTGTGGGTTTACTTCTCCAACACTGAAGTAATAAACTAATTGGAGCGTTTTTGTTTACGTGACAATCCCTACTGGCAGTGTCGGGTGGTGGAGGGTTACGACACATTTATACTTTCGCGATCTAACCCAAAAAAACTGTTTTATGAATACTATTGGTCGCGAAAGTCTACGTGTTAAACTAACCTTACTGTAATTGCCAAACATTTATTTGGATAAGCATTTGAAACAAATGCACCCGTAAAATTCAAAGCAATTCTTAAAACGCACGGATATCTTAAAACGTACAGGCAGAGTGATGCTTGTAATACATGCAACTCAGGCAATCTTAATTTCGCACAAGTGAACCTTGCAATTATTGTCTGAGAGTTATTCTCGAGGGAGAGCATCAAGAAACTGGATTTCTAACATCACAATTCGTTGTATTTTACACCGGATTTTGAATGAAGGTTTGACTTCGCTAAGCTGCATACCATATTTCTAACTGAATGCATATCTTGATTTTGGAAATTCTAATTCAGCCATGAATAATAATATACAATCGAGAACACATCAATGCAAAAGACAGCATTTGTTACATAGGCTAATTTACACGTGGAAATCAAATGAAACACTTAAACGCGTATTTAAATGAAATGTACGGCATCGCAAATGAGTCGCTTAGCATGGACACGCACGGCAGAACAAATGTTACAGTTGTCGCAGTGTACCGAGACACGTGCGGGGCAGATGTCACAACGCACGCACAGAGGGGACACGGCAGGGGAGGAGGCACACACGGGCACGCGATGTGATGCAGAAGCGGGGATCGGACTCGCGCCAATGAATGAAACTACAAGGGAGCGGGGGGATGAACAAACAACGTTTATTGAGCAATGAAGGTACACACAACGCACGCACAAAGGATGGCGCTCACCACCGCACGCGCTCAGCAGCGTGCGGAGTAAGTGAACACGGTGAAGTGGAAGTGGTGGGGGAGGGGGGCACGATGGAGGGACGGGGAATGGGGGTGAGAAATGACACGACGATGGTTAGGGTGACGGCAGTGCGTAGGGTGACGACAACTCCTCGGCAGCAAGGCGACACGCCACAAGCGCACGGTGGCGTCATCACGATGAAGACGACGGCGGGGGGGGGGGGGGTGACGACACGCACGGTGTGACGAGGTGACGCGGGGAGGGAGGGCGACGGTGGAGAGATGGGAGCAGCGTGGGAGCGAGAACGGTGGCAGCGAGAAAACGAACACTAAAATATTTTACTCGTTTTTGTTTTACCAGGTAAGGCCCACTGAGCCGCACAGCTCTTATTCAGAAGCGACCTGGCCACAAATGATAGCTCAACCAAGTGGCTCATCACGTGGAAATGTATAGCAGCCAAATACTCTAAACGCGTGATTGTTGATTCTCAATTTGGAGGAAAAATCTGGAGGACCCGGAGAAAAGTCCACGTGACCACGGAGAGAGAGACAACGCAAAATTCCAAATATACAGCAGGCGTTGGGGTCTGGAGCGAACCCACGACCTCCTGCAAACCAGGCGAGGTAGTTAACATCTCCTAGCCACCGTGGCGAGAGACGCCAGGCGACGAACCCCACTGGTGAATGGACACGGCGTTCCCTCTCGCCGCGCTGCCTGCCCTGACAACCCGCCGCCTGTGCGAGAGGCACGGGAGGTTATTGTGGCACGGCCCCCTCGCAGTCAGCAGACGTCAACAGCAGCCACTCTGCGCGTGGCAGGGAATCGTTCCCATAGCCCTTGAATCGAAATGAAAACTGCACACCCGCTTGGGTTCCCGCTAGCTGGCCGGTTTATTCGTCGAGATGTAGTTTTTTTGTTTGTTTTGGTAATAGATGCCAACTATGCTTGTTTATTTGTTAAGTCATGCTGGACTATTTAGATGGAAAATTTGACAGCGATAGGCTAAAGTGGTGTCCAGTGCCCTGCAGATTCATCTGAGACTCATGGTTCTCCGATGGCAGCCGTAGAGAACATTTATTTTATTTTCTCGAAATATTTTGCTGTTATCACGATCAGAGGTGGTGTAGCGGTGAAACGATTCATTTATTTAAATCAATTCTTAAAATAATAATGAACGGGCCTTTAGTCATTCCACTACTGGATGGAGATCTCCCCACACCAAGTCGGCCAAGGGGATTGATTGTTTGACCAAACCTTACTACGCTGGTGGTAAAGCGTGGGTTGGCAGTACGGGGCCCAGGGCAGTTTCAGATGTCACTCGCCACTTGTGATGAATGCGGTCGAGAATCAAACTCAGACGTCGTCGAGGTTCATAGGGCAGAGCGCCGAACACACTGCTCTCGCTCCACGACAACACTTGGGCGTGTAACAAAATCAATTATTTACTATTCGTGCAAATTACATAATGGACTCACGTGATCCCTGCCGCCACTAGAGGCTGCTAGATTTATCAAAATCAGAAGAAAAAATGTATTCTTCAGTTAAATTGCAATCCCAAATCATGGCCGTTCATCTAATTGCAAGGGGGCGCATTGATACACACCTAATTATTCATCACACCTGCTTCATATGATACCTAAACAATTGCATAATACTCACGATTTACAATGGCTTACCATTGTTCGGTTTTGCTGGCTTAAAGAGTCGGATTAATATGTAATGTATGTTGAACTTATTTCGCACCGTACGTAGCCAACTGTGCTAATCGTCTATTTGTTAATTTAACTGAATACGAACCATTTTTTCATGGAAGGACGACTTGTCACTTTCAGGAGAAACAACCTTATTATTCACTATAGCTGAGTACGAGGAGCATAGTGAGACAAATACTGACATATGGATCCCAAGTATGGACATTGACAAAGAACATGGAACACACACGTGGAGGGGTGCACGCTTGGAATTGCACGGAGAGCCAGAAAGAGGAGGAACACACGGATCGGAGAACAAATGCAAATTGTAGACGTCACTTTGCCTGTAAGGTAAAGCACACGAGGGATTGGGCAGCGCACACAGCCGCAAGCGACGGCGGCCTCAGGAAGGAATACACCCCGAGAGGACGACCGTCGCGGAGATGGAACGATGAGATCATCTCACGTGCAGGAGTGAGAGATGGAGTGAGAGATGGACTACTATGCATGAGTGAGGGATGTATTATGGTATTAGAAGATCGCAAGAGATGGCAAAAATGTGGGGAATCCTTCGCACAGCAGTGGATATATCATGACGACGAAGAGCTAAGAATCCCTCTGCCCGGATGTTTGGGTGACGGAGGTCAATTGGAGAGACCCCATGAGGAGCTATGCGGTGATATTGACATTGCACTGTCTCAGAAAGGCATTGGGAAGATCGTACGTCTTAACCGAAGCATCCTGTTATGACGTGATGAGTCGCATCCTCTCCATTAATAATGTAAGTGAATTAACAGAGACGTTAAATGTAATTAACTGGGCTGTGTATATTGATATAATAGTTGTATTGTCAACGCAGCTCAAGGCCCAGGTGCATTATCATCAATGTGCTGTAGTATGATTCCATACATCGTGTGGCCTCTACCGTGCACGTTGTTTAGATAATTAAATTATTCTCTCGAGGAATTGTCACGATGCAGGTCGCAATTTGCTTAAACAACCGCTGGCACGGTCCTTTTAGTACCGTTCTGCATTTCTGTGTCTCATTTGCAGTTTTGCGTATACGATACGCATGCATGTAACGTAAACATTCACATATTTGTTGAGGTGTGATATAATAATAGCAGCAAATGAGCCAATACTGTAATGTACTTACATGGCGCACACGTCTATGCTCGCTGCCTTCACCGAGCCGCACTGACCAGCGTGGTGAAGTATGGTCAAATAACCCCCAACAGTGTGCGGAGGCCCTCATCCAGCAGTGGATTGCCAAAGGGCTGTCGAGTGCTCGCACACACACAAGGCTGTACAGTGCCATGGCCTCTCATTAAATGCATTTGTTTACAACTAAACTAATTCATAAATAATTATGTATGACACTGATGATTCCATGCATTGCATCGTGCGCCTATAAACAATAATAATAATCGAAACGTAAATCGAAGCGATTAGCAGGGTAGGCGGTGGTGGAGGTGAAGAGTGAAGCAACAGTAAACGAGGATGGACAACGATGCGGTCAGCACAGCTGTCGACCCACGCGGTTTACCTGCATTCTTGTACAGGGAAATTGAGTTAAAAAATAAATTTTTGCAAGTGTTTTTGTGTTTCTGCCTTGTGATGGGACTTTGCAAGATGAACGTTGAGATTTATAAAGGGCACGGGGTGACCAATAAGGTCCGAATTTAGTCTGTAATAAGGCAGGGCACTGACAAGGGGTTGACAGCTATGGGTCAGCGACGTGAGTGTGGGGTTGAGGCGACGAAACTCGGGTAGCGGTGGTAATAACAAAGCGATTAACGCGACGGCGTAAATGAGAAACTACGAAAAAGGGTGGAGACGTAAATCGAGATCTGACTGCAATCGATTTCACTTGAACAATCGCGGATCACCGCCGCAATGCCTGGAATAGTCCCCCCCCCCATGAGTTACACCGATTGACAGCGGCTGCACTGCCGCCTTGTGGTAGGGTCCTTGGTACAGCATGGGAATAGCCCATCATCTTGCTGCAATGCAACTGCTGCACGAAGAGTTGCAAAACTGAATGCTCTTTTAGATTTGACCCCACAGGCCGCATCCGTTATTTGACTGACCTCGGTCCCGAGGCGAGTGTTGATTTTCGCGAGAAAAAAATGTGATGAATATATTCGTAACCGCAGTGGTTGATTTATTTTAGTCAATGGAAATCATCGAGCGTGCCAATTGACTATGGCGAGATGAGATTAACACGTCGGAATGAAGACGCAGACCGAGATTATTTATAAAAATAGGTTTTACCCTTTCTGGCAAATAAAACAGTTATGTTAAGATGTTAAAACACCAAACTGAAACCTTTTGCAAGGAATCATGTCTGCACTACCAGCGCATGTTTTTGGTTTGCATGTTCACCACAAGTATATGTGTGGTGAACGCAGACATGATTCCTTGCAAAAGTTTTCTGTTTGGTGTTTTAACATCTTAACACAACTGTTTTATTGCCAGAAAGGGTAAAACCGATTATATTTTGATACTGGCAAGGGAGGTCCCATGACGAAATTATTTAGTTCATCTTCTTGGTTCTTTCGGTAAAGTCACGTAGAATGGAAATAATAAAATAATAAAAATAAAACATAATAAAATAATTCTCACGACGTTTCGGCCACAACGCAAGCAGCCGTCCTCAGGTAAAGAACAGGTCTGTCGGCAAGACAGAGACTCTGTCTTCTCGACAGACCTATTATTTCCATTCTACGTGACTTTACCGAAAGAACCAAGAAGATGAATCCCTGCAGTCACGAAAGCTTTAAATCGAAATTTAGTTCATGTTTGGCCCTTCTAGTCGACGAGACTAAGCGAATAATGAACCCCGCAGGCCACGACTCGACTGCGACTGGACATGCTGCGTCGTCCATTCGACTAAAGACTGTCGCCAACACAAATGAAGATGCTGACTACGTGAACACGACTTACTAAGGCAATTGAGCAGCATGGGTCAAGTTACGTGCAATCGCAAGGTAGTTTAGGAGCGTACAAGTGCACTATTACACTATACACTACATTAAGTTCACGCTGCTGACTGCGGTGAGGGGCATTTTATACGAAAAGATTTATCGTAGAAAAGTGCCAAAGCTGCGCCGTACAATGATTATGTACTTTTGGTTACCAGTGACAAGTTGAGGCATCCTTACAAAAAGTTGTAATGCATTTTCCTTGGGTCTTTGGTAGATAGAAAAATTATAATAACAAATAATAAAATATCACGACTTTTCGATCGCAACACAAGCAATCGTCATCAGGTGAAAACATATCGAGTGGCTTGCCATCCTTTTCCACCTCCATGTGGCGATGGCTCTTTCCGAGCCTACATTTACAAGCACATTTCTTACATTGACATGCTAATCTCTCACAATACAATGGCCACCCCGACAGCTTCGTTTCTGAGTTACATTCACTAACACAGCCACCGTTAGCTGTGTTAGTAAATGGCGGCTTGACATCCTTTTCCACCTCCATGTGTTGATGGCTCTTTCCTAGCTCTCTCCGAGCTTACATTTACAAGCATCTCTAAACCTTTGTAAACAGCTCTTTGATTGGGGTAGACCTACTGCCGGTTACGGAGACCTCTCCTACATTAGCTGCCCCGCCCATCTCTAAACATTTATAAACAGCCTCAGCAGCTTTCCCCCTCTTTTTTCACCCGATGACGATTGCTTGTGTTGCGATCGAAACGTCGTGATATTTTATTATGTATTATTATTTTTCTATCTACGTGGCTTTATCGACAGACCCAAAGAATATGAATTCCCTGCAGTCATGAAAGCTTTAAGTCAACATTTGTAATGCATTGTTTGACACGCGCCTGTGATTGCACGTGGTGTGTGACGGCAGCGCACGCCCATTGAGAGCGCTTCCAGGGTCATGCAGCGAGTCCTCCTGATTCATGATTGGTAAACACAATTTCCTACCACTAAGCCACAACAAAAGCCGCTTCTTGGTGCGACTCTCAACCCACGTTTTTGTGCTCTTTTAACACAACTGCGCTTTTACCCTTCACGACTCCGCTCTCCACCTTCACGACTCCGCTCTCCACCTTCACGACTCCGCTCTCCACCTTCACGACTCCACCTTCACGACTCCGCTCTCCACCTTCACGAACCCATGCTGACCAGCGAGGTGGTCTGTGGTCAAATAACCCCCGTGACCCACAGCTGACTGACAAAACAAAAATGGCCGTACAAACTAGACACGCGTGTCAAGACCCAGCAGTAGCCATCGCCCAGAGTCCGATTGGACGACCGCACGTGCAGGCGCCTGCCCAAGCCACAATTTATCGAGCAACGTTTATAACGGAGCCGACCCTGCCCCAAGGGGCCGTGTTCTGGTCGAGGCTGACGTCCTGTGGACCAATCCGCCGACGGCACTCACCTATGTCGAGCTCCTTAGAGGTCACGCTCTCAATGACCTCGGTGTGAATCGCGGGGAGTGACTCCAGCACGTTCTCCGATTGCCGCACAATCTCTTCTCCTTTCCTCGGCGCGTCGGTCCACTGACGATCGTCGCCCAAGACGGCCTTTCCGGCCTCCTCCTGAGTGATTCCCGTCACCGAGGGATCCGCTCCCGTGGGGGATAAGGGCGCGGGGGGCAGCGTGCCGGCGCTGGTCTCGCCATCCCGCTCCTCCCCAGAGGCGTACGACTCCGGATCCGGAGCCACGGCGTCGGCTCGGCTCGATTCCCCGACCACGGACTCCGTCGTCTTTGTTGCTCCGCCGCCAACGCCGTCGCCGGCGTCGTCCTCGGTCGCGTCGCCACCTCGCCCGCTGCTGCCGTGCGCCACCGCCGTGGTTTCGTCTTTGGCTGCCGTGACTTCCACGGCGCTGGATTCGCTCGGCAGAAAGTTCTCTTCGGCTAGCTCCGGCGCTGACCCAGCAGCATTGCTGAGCTTTTTGACATCATAACCAGCGGAGGAAGAAGCGGAGGTAGTTGTGTCAGAACTTCCCATCTCTTGCGTCGACGACTGCGCTCCTTCGTCTCCGGACACAGCTTTCGCGACGGCCGCCGCTCGCGAGGGTAACGGCGTGACGTTCGCGGACGGCTCTGTAGGCAAAGACGCGGCCACCGTACTCAGCACACCGCCGCTCTCGCGGCGCGACGCCCAATAAAGCGCGGCCGTTTCCGACGCGCCCGTCAACGCCGGAGAGCCGGACGTGCGCACGGACGGATCGACAGCAGCAGCAGCGACGGCGGAGGCGGCGGCAAGAGTAGTGGAGCCCTCTACTCTAGAAAGCTTGGGAGTGATCCGGACTCGTCGCAGCATTAGAAGCGGTCGCGGGCAGCGTGCTTCCGGAGGGATTTGGGTCAGCGCTCGGGGAGCCCATGGGCGAGTGCGAAGCGGCAACAGGGTGGTGAGTATGCACAGCGTGTGTCCGTGGGAAGCCAGAAGGTTCGGTAGCAGTGAAAGCAGCGGGTTGCACACTGAAGCTAGGGTCTGGGGTCACACGTGAGACTTGTGACACATCGGGGGAGCCGGTTACAGGCAGGGAAGCGTGCTGCAGTGATGAAGTTGACAACCACAATGAAGGTGGTGATGACGATGACGATGATAATGATGACAACAACGACGATGGTGATGATGATTGTGCTACAGACACGGACGGACCAGACCGAGCTGTCGTAAACTCAGCAGCGAAAGTTCCCGGGGAAGCATCAAAAGCAAGCGACGGCTGCAGGTTTAGGGAACTCGTCTTTAGCTCCACCTTCTCCGAGCTCGCAGGGTGGTACGACGCACTGCTGCTTTGCAACGACGGCACATCGACACTGGGTTTGGATGACGCGAGTGTGCTACTTCCCCCGGTGGTCGTAGCACTCCTTCCGACCTCCGAAGACAGATCCCAAGCTCTGCCGTACGTGATGAAAGCCACAGCCGAGCCATGGAGCTCGTGAATATAAGATAACCCGTCACCCGATTGCAAATCTGTGGCGTGTATATCATTAGAGGCGAAAATTGATTCTTCTGAGTGATGGGACAATCCGCTCAGGCTCTGAGATTGCGGAGTGCTCAAGGGCGTAGAGGTTTGGAATGGGTCATTTACTTTATCCGCACGTTGCGGAATGAAGGACATGGGGTAATGTTCCGAAACAGAGACCACCCGTTTGGGAAAGATTTCCAAGGTTCCTGAAAGCGGAGGTGGTAAAGAATGTGTACCTGTTGTCACACCAATCATTTTGCCGTGATCGCTCCCAAAAGTTGAATCGATGTTGTTTGCGACAGCGGGTTTTCCTGAGGGCGTTTGTGAAGGGGTTGCATCTGGTGGATCGTTCCCGGACGGATTGGAGACTTGATTCTCTCGCCTCGGCTCTGAGCCCGTCAGCCCTTGAGATGCGGTCGTGACGAAGGTGCGTTCGTCCCCGCCTGCGCCCGCACCACGCCGCCGGCCGGGCTCGTGCGCCGTCGACAAATCCTCCCGCCAAACGGTGGGCGAGCTCGTCGTGCCCTCGGCTCGCGCGGGAGCGTCGAGGGGGCCGCCCCCCAGGACGCCGGCCGTGCGCGACGACGGAGAAACGGCGTCGTGGTTCGGCTGCGGACCGGCGGTGCTCGCGGAACGGACGCTCGGAGGCGGCGAGCTGGTGCCGCCGCGGCCGCCTTCATTTCCCGGACGACGAGGCGCGTGCGTACGGGGCGCCGCGAGGGTGGACGTCTCGTCGGACGTGTCGCCGAAACTCGTCTGCCGCGGTGCGTCGTGGGTAACGGGCGCCGGCTCTGCGGCGATGGTGGCTGGCGACGGTGTTGCTTGCACGACAGCGACTTTCGAAATCTCGCCGGGGACCGTGGATCCAAAGAGCGCCGCGGTCGTGTTACCTGGGTTGGTCGCGCCGTGCGCAGGAGGAGGAGGAGGAGAAGGTGTCGTGGAGAATGCTACTGGGGCTGCGCTGTCATCTGTTGGGCCTTGCAAGGATGAGGCGGCGCGTTCGGTTTGAACGGCGGACGTCGGCGCTGGCGAGGAGGTGGCGATGGCGGCGGCGGCGCCACGGATGGGGTTCAGCTTGCGGTTCACGGAGGTCGTTTTTACAACAAAATGGACTTCGGGTCTCACGGTTTCTAGGTCTTCCTCTGCAGACGTTTCCATAACCTTTCAGACAGAAAACAAAATAAAACAAAACATCGATATTTAAGTTGGCAACGTGATCACCTTGTCTGCACGCATAAAATTACTGCAAGTAATCTGATTCGTTGTTGTCAAAACTAGAATGACCGTTGGTAAATTAGCGGCGCAACAATTTAGTCGGTTCACTTTGCAACTTCAGGAGGGATAAACATATTAGTCTGAGATTCACTTCAACGACTTTAATATTCACAACACACCAACTGGCACCCTCCATTGAGTGTTTGATGCATGGAGCGGAAAAACAGAGTGCCTGGAGAAAACCCACCGCAAACGAAGTAAGAACAACTCAACACCATTAATCCTAGATTTGAAGCTTTCGTGACTGCAAGGATTCATATTCTTAGGCTTTTTAGGTAAAGTCACGTAGGTAAAAAACTTGATACAGCTATCGTGCTGTGACTGTTCCACCTGAAGACGGAAGCTTGTGTTGCCTCCGAAACGTCGTGATTTTTTAAAACTTTTATTAATTATTATTTTTTACCTACGTGACTTTACCGAAAAAACCTAGGAATAGGAATAACTCTACACCAACCATACATGCCTGGACCGTCTCCTACGGCCCACCTCACAGCCCTCCCGGCTGGTGTCTCGTCTCACAAAGACGATGCTCTCTGCGCTATCCACCTACTCCGGCGTTGGCTTACAACGTGTGCGGCGCGCCCGGCCACGTTTGCGAGCGGGTGCTTAACGATGATTCTACCTTCTTCTTGGTTCTTTCGGTAAAGTCACGTAGAAGGGAAATAATAAAATAATAATAAAAAAGACGCCGTCTTCCGACAGACCTGTTCTTCACCTGAAGACGGCTGCTGGCGTTGTGGCCGAAACGTCGTGAGAATTATTTTATTATGTTTAATTTGTATTATTTTATTATTTCCCTTCTACGTGACTTTACCGAAAGAACCAAGAAGATGAATCCCTGCAGTCACGAAAGCTTTAAATCGATGATTCTACCGCATAGGTATTGGGCGGTTGTGCCGCACGGCTCTCCGATGAGTTTTCTAGCGGCGCCGTGCGTTAATGATGACGACGGTGGTGATGATGATGATGGCGATGGTCGCGGTGGAGTACTGCTTCCGCACCTCTCCCACTGTGTTCTGCGACAACTTCTCCGTGGTGTGGCCACGTTCGGTGTAGGTCAGCAGCTCCATGACCCCTTCCACGCCGCTCTCTTGAATATCTATAGGCGCCACGAGAAATGCCAGTGAGACCAATGTAGAAGCACACATGCTGTTAGATCTTAGATTCATGCACAGTTCAGTACTGGTTATAACCATAGATATAATTGACATGTAAAGGATGGTATATATTGCAACTTCTTACATTCATGTTTCCACTGATCATTTGTTATATGACTTCATAATTGTTAAACTTGTAGAAATAGTGTATTTATAATATTTACTTCCATGAGCTATTTTCTACATCAGCGGCTAATATTTTTTGCGACTGGAATTTTGACCAATGTTAATGTTTGAAAAACATGAATATATTTCATAAATCATAAAACATTAGTCTATTTCAAAGCATTCCCGACTTGTAGGTCAAATCTAATTTAAATCGGCTCACAGAAACGTTCTTAAACAATGGAAACATGTATATTTAAACAACCCTTTTAGAAGAGTAACGATCAACCCACTTAGCTCAATGAATCGACCAATTTTCCCGTAAAAGAGAAAACAGGTAAATGCAATTCGTGACGGGAGCGACGGTGATGCACGTATCAATCTTGAAAGACTATTACCTTGAATTTGCTGCGCGGTCGAAAGTGACCAAGTTAACACGTGGTCTGTGGCTAGACGTGAAGCAATCCTGCATTCCGGGTCCCAACCCAGCAATAATTGTTCCATCCAGAGGCAAGGAGGTGATGGAGAATGGTGGCTTCAAGAGGGAGCAATGGAGGATGAACAGCTCCGACCAGTACGCACACACCTCGCCCGCTCGCTCGCTCGCTCCTCACGCACGCGCTATCCACACAGTGGCACGGTGAAGTTAGGGTAAAATGACTGTGTACACAAACACACACGTACCCGCACGCAAGCACAACGATTCCCCAGTCTCTTCGTCGAGGTGCTCGCGAACAGCGAGTGCTGTTGGCGAGCACCTATTAAGGCCAGAACGGCGCACGTGCCAGCGGGTGCTGTGGTCGCCACCACACGCACGCAAAGCCACACTTATTTCTCTATTTGCCGGTGCCCCTGAGCACACCGCACAGGTTGTTACTTTTTAAACTCGTTCAACCTAGCGGACGCCTAAGGGCTCAGATAGAAACCAATTTGCACATTTGTGTTGCACTTGGTCAGAGATTGAACGCGGGGGTGTGTGTGTGTACACGCTCACACGCACGCGTCTACTCGCGCGCGCACACAGAAACGCCACATGGGTTAATGGATGGAGATGTTAAGGCATCACGCGCACACACGCGCGCACGCACGCACGTACAAATGGAGATGAAACCGCTGTGATTGAATATGTTAATTTGTCTTTATTGGTGCTGTTGCTCACTGTTAAAGCAATGAACTGGTTTTGGCTACCAAGGTACAGCGATAAAAGAGCTCCTTCACGGGTTTGCAACTCATTTCGTATTCCTCGACCGCCCGCGAAAGGCCGAAATCTCTCCCTGCTTAAATCAGTGTGGCAGCCTTCATTTAGGTGTGGAAAATCCACATTCAAATGGCGAGGACCAGTCTCTCCATAGGATGACAACTGCTGACTTCCCACAAAGCGGTACCCATTTTATTGACCCTCGACGTTAGATGGGCCGAGTGGACCCCCCCGAACCCAGATTTTAATTGGCGCACCTCCCGACTTTGAGTCCAGCATACGGCCTTGTTCAAGGAAGAAAGGTACATGCAATGAAAGTGCCAACTTTGAAATGTTTTAATCGCCTTGGTAGCACGGATTTGCTAGCGACACTTAGCCAACAGGAGCTGAAGTATTCGAGAAATACATATTCAATGGCAGCAACAGACCACAGTGGTTCCCAAAGTTAAACACCCCCGTCCAACAACAACAACAATGATGGAGGAGTCTTCAGCCAAGTGAGCAAGATGAGATGTACGCAGATGGGCTGGACTTGTCCATGTCTGTTGTGTGGAGGTTATTTAGTTTTGGTCTGCCACTGGCATTGTCAAGAGAGAAAACACATGCAGAATGGGTCACATGCAATGCAAATGATAACAGAAATGAAGAAGAAAGCCTACGTAAAAAAAAAACACACGTGTGCAATGTGGTATCGTTATCATTTGCTCGTGAAAATGATAACCCTAAATTGAATTTATCACGTGTGTTATTGTGGACTTAAATTCATTATTGAATTTCTTGGCAATGTGGGCCCACACACCTGTTGCTGTGGTAAAAAAAAATGTTTCACTCTTTTTTTTTCTCTCCATCAGAAAATTGTTGTGATGAAGAAAACCCACTGCATGTTGGGCCCCACATAGCTCAAAGTAGGCTGCTCCCTCCAATAACTACAAAGCACACGGCAACATTGGCTCATGTGGCCGCACATTGCTGATGAGGCTCAATTTAGTGGAAACCATTCGACAGATAAAAGTGTGAAACGCCGATTTTGAGGAAGGCCAGTATGAAGCACGGATTAAAATGTATCTACAAACCGCTGAAATTAATTGTTTAAAACACATTGCACACCTTGCTTGCCAACAGCGCTGTCATCCAATGACAGCGGGCGTTTGCACAGAACAGAATTCTGGGAAGGGAATGCAGGATCCAATCACGGGAAAGCGGTGCACGTTGCAAGTTGCCGGAAAGAATAACCTTTGACCTTACCTTAAGTCTTATGCACGGACAAGTTTCGCACACTCGGCCCCAATGTGCACCGTCAGTGTAACATTTCATTATTCCACATTCCCCCCCCCCCACCCAATATTTTTACAACCGTGCCGTCAGTGCCATGTCGCGAGAGGAGCGATCCACTCGGAGCTCTCGCAGAGCAGTGAATCACCCCGAGTGAGAGAAACTCTGTGCGGAGGTGGCACCGCAGAACTACTTCCGAGGTCCCTTGCATCGACACCGTCACCACACACTCCCACGTGCTCAGCAGCACAGTTGCGTGTCACCGACGTGTCTCTTAAATCGACGTTTTAAATTTTCACAGCTGCAATTTACGCCAAATTACATTCGGCAGTTAGGGGGATGGGGGCTTGTGGGGGCGGGTGGGGGGTTATGTACGGAGGTAGGTGGATGGGTAGGTAGCTACACAGGCAGGCAGGTTGGTTGTCAGCAGGTACGCTAGGTTGACACACGCACGAAATACAGGCAGCTAAGTGGTACGCGTATTGGCAGGAACCATGCACAGTCAGGCATGTGGGAATCAATGACAGGGCAGCAGCATTCGGGCTCCACGGCGGCTCGGAGCGGCAAGCCCCCTCGTGTGCAAGCGCGGCGCACCCCTCTCACCTTTCATCTCCAGGCGCACGGGCGGGCTCGGTGGCCCGGCGTGGGTCCCCGCACACACGGCCTGCACCTCCACCCAGTACACGGAGCCCCACTGCAGCTCGCCGAGGATGGCGCCCTGACCAGACGCCGCGCAGACAGCCGCGTCGTCAAAAGAAAGCTTGACGGGCGACAAATCAAGGGCGGCTTTCTGGACGCGTGGATTTTGCGCGTGGATTTCGCGCGTGGATTTCGTGCGTGGATTTCATGCAGGCTTGCGCGTTCTGGGGGGGATCCCGTCTGAGTTCACTCCTTGTGATGCGCGCTGAATAGTTGAGGACCGCTTATTGGTTTAATGGGGGGGGGGGGGGGGGGAGGCAGCCTCTCACCGTGTCCTGCTCCCCCTCGGTGAGGAACTGCTCCACGGGGGAGTCACCACCCTCTTTGCGGCACGTGACGGCGTAGCGCTCGATGGTGGCAGCGTAGACGGCGGCGGGCCGCTCCCACATCACCATGCCCGTCGTCTCGTTGTGAGCGCGGGCCGTCACGTTGCGTGGCTCGTTGGCGCACACTGCGCACGGCGGGAGATCGGAGATGGGGCGACACGGGCACGAGACGGGGATGAGAGGAGGACGCGTCAGGGACAGGGGAGGGGTGAGAGCAGAGATTGTGTATGCGTGTGGTTGGGGATGAAAAATTATTGGGATTTTGAATTTTTAAGAAAAATTCGTATTTTTTGTGAGATGGCGGGTCATGTACATGACAGTGGATATTTCGGTGTCTTTGGGCTCACAAAAGCGACGCCACTTGACAACACCATTTTGGCCGTAAAACATCTGGAAGATGCACCATATCGGTGATGTCACCTCCCCTTTTGGAACAAATCCAAAACAAAAATATATTTTTTGATTGTCCAAAATATCCCATCACATCTGAAAGACAGAGCTTATTTACTCGGAAAACTGTGGAGCGTGTCCCAAGCAACGCGCGATGCCATCATCATCGTCGTCATCATCATTGTCTTCATCATCATCATCGTCATCATCGTCGTCATCATCATCATCGTCATCATTATTATCATCGTCATCATCATCGTTGTCATCATCGTCGTCATCATCATCATCGTCGTCGTCATCATCATCATCGTCGTCGTCATCATCGTCATCATCATCGTCATCGTTGTCATCATCGTCATCATCGTCGTCATCATCATCATCGTCGTCGTCGTCGTCGTCGTCATCATCATCATCGTCGTCGTCATCATTATCATCATCGTCATCATCATCGTCATCGTCGATCCGCTCCTCGGGAGCCGTGCACGGTACCTTGCGCTGGCGGTGCCTCGGTGGTGGGAGGCGTCGCGGGCCCCAGGCGGTAGCGGACGAGGTCGGCGCCAGACGGCGGCGGCTGCGGCGGGCGGAAGTTGTCCTGCAGGTACTCGAGCAGCATGGCGTAGCCGGCGCGCTCCATGATGAGCACGCCGTACAGCGCCTCCAGCTGCGCGGCACAGGGCGCGACGGGGAAATTGACGTTCAGGGCCGTTCGGTCGCAGTCTACGGCGGGGCGAGGTTCGACTCGAGCCATCGCGATCGTCACCGCGTGGCACGGCCGGAGAACTTCGACGGCGTGGGTTGTTTCGTGCACACCAAACTAAACTAATACTCTAAATTTCGATTTAAAGCCTTCGTGACTGCAGGGATTCATCTTCTTGGTTCTTTTGGTAAAGTCACGTAGAAGGGAAGTAATAAAATAATAAAAATAAAACATAATAAAATAATTCTCACGACGTTTCTAAATGCACGTTTCTAAATGTGGAAGGAAAAACCGGAGGACCTGGAGAAAAATCAATGCGACCGCGGGGAGAACATGCAAGCTCCAAATATAGACCTCGCCACCGTGGCGCCTTGGTTTAGATGACCATCCAATGTTTCTCTCCACTTGCCGTGAGCTTAGAGCACGTGGAGGCGATTACGCTGAACGTCGCAGAGAACAACACGTCGCAGAGAACAACACATCGCAGCGCCGCTATTGAGAACCGTCGAGTCATATTCTACGAAAATGTTTCAACGACCGCGCCGGAGGATCGAACCGGCGACCTCTGGATTAAAAATCCAGAGCGCTAACCCTGACATTATGGCAGCATCCCTTAGCTGAACAGAAATACACATGTTTATTTGACTGGGACGACTGTCCATTGAACCAATCGGTCTTATTTTCGAATCAGAATTTTGACATCCAAACAAAAGAGTGTGCGAATGTGAAGGAGACATTACGAGTGTGAACTTTGCACCACAGCACAGTTGCTCCCGGAGTTACGAGAATGGGGGGGGGGTGGGGATGGAGCCATTGGATCTTTACCTGGTGAGCGGAGATGTGCACCGTCCGGGGGAAGACGGTCCACTCCACCCCCTGGGCGCAGGGCGGCGTGGTCGTCGTGCCCGAGTAGCGGAAGAATTCGTCCGTGGACTCGGGAAGCAGATCCGCGGGACGGAACGCGCTCACCTTGTCGTGAAGGTCTGCACCACGGAGGGGGGGCAGGGGGGGCAGGGGTGTGGGGGCACCGCCACGCGCAGAAGCGATCGGTCACGACGGAAACGGGCGCCCGGCCGATCCGCCGGCGTTGCGCTCTGCGTGTAGAGCGAGCGGCTCGCGGTCGGAAGGCCGCGGGTTCAAATCGCGCTTGGAGGTTGACGCAGCCCATCCGTCCTCCGCGGTTGATAAAACGAGTACCATTTTGTGAGGAAATAAAAAAGTGGTTTTGTGGATAGACCTACCCCTGCCATAGGACTGTGGATTTTCCACCACTGGCTAGGGCCGGTTAGTGGGAGACGTCGACTGGCTCACTCACCAACCTCCGCGCTAACATTTACATGTCGCTGACCAACTTTGAACCATAACGAAATAATAATAATAATGAGACCGCTGAAATCACCATAAGTGGGTCCAATCTCGTTCAATCTGCAAAGCCAAACGGAGCTGAACCTGGCCAGAGCTTAGGTGAGTGACCGCCAGAGCTTTCCAGGTCGTTTAAGTTTGGGCAGTTTACCAAGCGCCGCCCCTCGTATGTATGGGCTTTCTCTGGGCACTCCAGTGTCCTCAAACATGCCTAACCCTCGTTAATGACAGCGGTCAACGTCCCAATGCAGGACCCTCCTGCAAAACAAAAAGAGTCTCCACTCTCCGTGCAGCTTTCATGGGTATATTTTTGGATTTATTATGTCGTTATTATTACGATGATGATATGAATAGGAAAATATATCACAGTCCCTCAACTCCTGCGGCCAACAGAGCACCATGGAACAACTCCAAAAGATGATACAAACAGAATGTCTATTGTTGGCCTCCCTTACCCGACGCCAGATGTCGCCCCTCTACGCTTTGCCACGAGTCAGGCATCAGTGGCAGCCGCGTGTCAGACACGCGCCTCGAAACCACCGGGCAAAGGGATTTGTGGATCACGCAGCGTCGTGAACCTGCTAGGGCAGAGAGGCAGCCGCGAGATGGCAGCACAGCGTCTGTGCGAACCTTTGGGGTGAATATCCCTCTCTGTACGTGTGTTGGCTTTTTTCAGGCGCGCTCCCTGAAAATGAGTTGGCTCCGTCACCCCAATGGAGCAACCTCCGGATAAAAAGAACTCGCGTGTTGTGTTGAAAGATAAAGGAGCAGCCCTGCAATTGCTCGCTCAACTGCTTGCTTATCCTGCTGGCAGAATGGCCTTCACTGGAGGGAGTTCTAAAGCACCCCCCTCCTGCCCCCATCCACAGCGTATTTGTCCCACTATTCTACCACGCAGGCCGGATGTCGGAGGTGGCAGCGCCCACACTTTACCCCACCACACGTGACCGACCTGCCGGTGGCATACCCATGAATACTGCCTGGTGGACAAAGGCGGCGTGGAAAAGGGAGGGGGGGGAAATTTAACAAAACTCGCGCCGCCGCTGTTTCAACTTCCGCGCCCGGGAGTTTTGATCCGACAGACCGATGGACGGCAAGTCCAGCGCGCCGACCGTTATGCCGTGGCAATGGTCGCAGCGATACGGTGAACGCGCAGAATGGGGTGGCGTGCACGTGGATACCCGGCTGGCAAACTCTCTTGACGGCCTCGAGCAGGGGGATGTAAGCGCTGTTGTTGTCTTTTGCGATCTAAAAATTGAAGAGACAAAAAAATGACGTCACCAAATGCAGCGTTCGACTGGAATGACACAAATTTGCGAATTACATCCTCCAAAGTCAAACGCTTTTCCCGAGTACTCTACATTTGAATCTTAACCAAAAACAGTGTTGATTCTTTCGAAGTGCTATCGTTGGATTGAACCAATTCCATCGAGAACGCTGACCGAGGGACATAAAGTACAGCAAAGGAACAAAGCGTAAACAATAGGTAAGTCTACGGTCGCTTTGCCCGATTAATTCCAATTGGATTTAGTTTCATATTTATTGAACGTGGCGAGCTCTCACATTTATTACGAATAACGACTGCCACGTAAGAAGTGTGCAATTTATTTGAGGAATCAGAAACTTATTTATCATTCCTTCGTGATTTTGGGAATGATGTATGCATACGGTAACAAAAAATGCTCAGAAAGGGAGTGAAAACGAGAGTTGATTTAAAAAAAATTGTATGCTGGTGACAACAGAGACCAAGCAGCCCTGTCTAGATCTATAGACTGACATGGAGATTGCTTTCGATTTAAAGCTTTCGTGACTGCAGGGATTCATCTTCTTGGTTCTTTCGGTAAAGTCACGTATAATGGAAATAATAAAATAATAAAAATAAAACATAATAAAATAATTCTCACGACGTTTCGGCCACAACGCAAGCAGCCGTCCTCAGGTGAAGACGTTGTCTCCCCGACAGACCTGGTCTTCACCTGAGGACGGCTGCTTGCGTTGTGGCCGAAACGTCGTGAGAATTATTTTATTATGTTTTATTTTTATTATTTTATTATTTCCCTTCTACGTGACTTTACCGAAAGAAACAAGAAGATGGAGATTGCTGTTAACGAGCACCTGCTCAGCGCGATATTTTGCCAAGAAGTTATCAGCGGGCCAAGTGCACCCGGCCAACTTTGTATCTCCAATGCTGTATGCCAGAATGAGAATATGTTCAGACTGGAGGAATCCGATGAGCTATGAAGCTCTTTCTCACAGTTGTCCAGTGCATGTACTGTACGTTTAACTTCTTTCGCACCGTACGTAGCCAACTGTGCTAATCGGAGATTGTCGATATTCACCATACGAGCTCCGTACTCATTGTGGGTTCAGGTGACCCAGGCAAAGCCCAAAGTCACTAAGCTCGGGTTGCCAGGCTTCACGAATTTCCAACTGGCACAGTGTGTGCGCGCGTGAGGAGCGGTGGTGTAGCGGTTAGCGCTACGCTGTGCTACGAACCTGGAGACCCGAGTTTGATTCCCGCTCACGGCCAACACGAGTGACGACAATGTGAACCGGTCCTGGGCTTCCCCAAGGTCGACTCGACCTCAAACGAGTACCTAGTGTGGTGTGTGAGCATCGCCACTCGTGGAAGTTGCCCACCCACCCCTCGTGTGTCGTCATGGGTGCTCGCTGACAGGCTACACGGGGGGGGTCTTTGTGTTTGTGTGCGAGGGCTTCCCCTGGGCCCCGTGGCACCTCGAAGAGGATGGACAGGGCTGCCATGTTCCCGCCCGCCTTCATCGCGGCGGCGAAGCTGCTGTGGTGTTCCTGGCTGTAGCCGTAGATCTGCACCTGCGACAGCGGAGCACACAGGAGGCCATCACGAAGGTCAATCGCCGGGGCAAGAGGGGGGACGGAAGCAGAGCGTCTCGACTCTTGGGCCCCGGAAACCCAGAAGGAATCAATAGGAAACACAATGATAATTGTTTTTTTACCCTTCTATCTGGCAACAAAACTGACACCTTTTTACAAGGAGTCATGTTTGCATAGACCACAATACCTGCAGTCATAATGCAAACAAAATACATAACTCTGATAATGTGCACTGTCCTTGAAGTTGATTGGTCCACACCCGAGACAGCTTTCCTTAGAGCCGAGTCTCACATGGGTTGACTGCAGGTATTGTGGTCTATGCAAACATGACTCCTTGTAAAAAGGTATCAGTTTTGTTGCCAGATAGAAGGGTAAAAAACCAATGATCATATTTTTACTGGCAAATGAGGTTCCCATGGTAGGAAACACAACTTTCACAAAGTATACGTTTCACTGTGTTGTCATCGTAAGCGCATCCATTCGATTATGTTTAATCGCTAAAACGTCAACTTCAGAGATAAAATCATCCTGCAACCATATATACAATTCCCCTATGGGTAGACTGACGATTGCTATAGGATTTCGATTTAAAGCTTTCGTGACTGCAGGGATTCATCTTCTTAGTTCTTTCGGTAAAGTCACGTAGAAGGGAAGTAATAAAATAATAAAAATAAAACATAATAAATTAATTCTCACGACGTTTCGGCCACAACGCAAGCAGCCATCCTCAGGTGGAGAACAGGTCCGTCAAGTAGACACACCGTCGGCTCTGGGCTATCGATCAAGAAGGCCACTGTTGAATATTCATTTGATAATTAAGGAACTCTGTCTGACCTATGATTGATATTATCTGTACACTGACATGCACTGGCTTATTTCTTATCAACATCACTCGCTTTCACGACCTCTCAGGTGTGTAGCTGGAGATAAAGCACATATACGGTAGTTTAGCTCTGAAATATAATCGAATGGATGGGCGTATGATGTCAACACAGAACTAATGACTTTAAAATTACACCAAAAAAGATGGTTTTTAAGGCTTCTAACAGACCATAAGCCTATAACAAAAGCATTCAATTAAAGTCGAAATCATTGGCTCATGCATTATTTAATTCTGGGCAAAGGGCAATGACAAGCGCTTATTTTCTGATGCAGCGTGACCACCACAGGATAAGTAATTACAACCCCACAGTCAGATCACAATCAAGGCATTGTAAAGACACCGAGCTGCAATCACATTTCCAAGCAAACCGCGTGCGCTCTCGGTTATCACCCCCACCAATTCCTCGCCCTCGCATTCATCATCGTCAGCCGCGATCTGTCCACAACTGGAGGATAAAGGCCTCCTCGCCAGGCCATCGCCATGGCGCATTGCCTCGTGATGCAGCAATCCATCCAGCTCGGCGTGCACGCGAGCCGACTCAAATCTCCTCCCACCTTTAGCTGCAACTCCGGGCGTTAGTCTCGACCATGGCAGGGCCTGGTCAAGCTTCTTCCTCTTGCAGGGCCTCGGCGCCTCTGTTTCGTCGGCTTTCAATGAAAGCTGGCCACAGTTGCTACTGGCTGCCGCCCCATGGCACTACCGCCACCGGCGCGCTGCTGATTCACGCGTAACACGACGAACGCAGCGCTGTCTTCCCTCGCACTACTCTCGATTGAGAATGGGATTGTGCGACAAACACCATTTGAAGATGTTATTGATAATTTTGCAATGGGAAAAATTTTTTAAAGTTCTTCTCCAGTGTTAATTTCACCCACCTTATGAAGAAAAAAACGATTAACATTTACATGACTCTGCCTCTTTGTAGGTGCACTGTCTCTATCCTTGCTCTATATATATTATATATTTATCAAGATCATGTTCCATTCTCTGTGCCAATGTCCACGTTTCTGATCCATATTTCACATTTTTTATCATATACATTGTTTTTGTCAACATTAATCGTAGGCCCTAGGCACAGTGCCTACTGTTGCCTATTGGAAAACACGGCCCTGGACCAGCGACCTTGAACCCTTCGTGGATAACGCGTCCTGTCTAAGGCCACTTGAGGATGTCTGTGACCGGTGGAAGTGCTCCGATCCACGTGTTCCTCCACCCGTCTCTCAAAGTCATTGCGAGCGTGCGCCTCGATGTGTTTTTTTTTATCTTAACACTTTTTAAATCCTGTTCCATTCTCTGTGCCAATGTCCACGTTTCTGATCCATATTTCATTGCAGGTGATACACACACACGTCGTGTGCAGTGTTACAGATACAATTTTGGAAATTGTGTTAATTTGAATTTTTAAAGAGTCGATTGTCTCCAACCAAAGGTAACATGTGAATTCGTTTCCACGTTTTAAAGTATACATGGCACAGCAGAAAGCTTAACAAGAAATGGCTTAATCTCTGAGAGTTATCAGGTCAATTCAAATACTATATAATTGAAACATTTATTTTAAAGATCACCTTGTTTAGACCATAGCGATCCTGTACTCTTCCTTATGAAGATGCCATATAATGTTTCATGCCCTCTGAGTATAAAGGACCTCAATTTGACAGGACATTAACAACATGCCATCTTGTTGCAGAGTGCCCCAGAGAGATGGTTGACCACCAATACATCTCAAGGTCAGAGATCCTCCAAATTAAATTCCAACGTGTCCCTCACCCAAACAAATGATCAGGCCAAGTATTTTTTTTAATAAGTCTTGAGATATGATATGACTTGTAACATTTTGTAAGTAAAACTTTTTGCAGTATTGCCCAAGGCGTTGTGGATTTGTAAATCTGTCATATTCAGGAGAAAAAGTCCCCCATGAAAACCACGTGAGTCAATCATGAACACACATGGGCATTTACATACGCCCCCCTACTAACTCAGTGTTTTAGTAAATATATATTTTATACACATTTATGATATGGTCTCCAAAGCTCAAATCTATAGTTATGTTAAATGTAGATAATATATTTCTTATATTGTTTGCTGCCCACCTGAAAAATGTACCCCAATTCGTGCTGCCGGTGTCGTGTCGCGTGACAAATAATTTGTTTGGATCTCTCACACGCAAAGCAATGCAACCTCCCCCTCCATGTTAAAGGATAGCCCACGGAAGCGGATATCACAAAGCTACCTCTGAGATCACTTCAAGTGACCTCTGGTATTCAAAGTAGGGGAAAGCACTTTTCCACCCATCCAACTAAACAGAGAGTAATGTTCGTCGCACGACATTCAAACCGATAATTGTAATCAACACGGTTGAATTAACGTCAAATGAAGTGCAGTCCTAAATTGAATGTGATGGTTTGTGTGCCGTCGTTGGTAATCGGGCTGAGGACCCAGACCTTGGGGTCAATTATAATTACAAACACAGCAGCATTGTTGGGTGGAATTATAATTACATTGTGGTTGCAATTCAATATACGTGACCCAATTACAATTGTAATCGACTCCAGGTGTGTATGTACGACAGACAACTGCCTTGACTTGCATCCGGGATCTCAGTGCAAACGCACACGGCTGTTTTAGCTTGAGCCACTGATCAAATCAGGCATACGGCATCTCTCCAAAAGAAAAGAAAAAAAAACCTTGGAGGCCTTTGAGCTGCTTCTAATCTTGCAATGTCCACACAGGCACCAAGTTCAGGATGAGAATATTTGTTTATACTGGAGGAGGAATCCGATGAGCTATAAAGCTCTATTTCACTGACGTCCACTGGGGGCAGGTCAGAACGTTACAGCGACAAACAGTACAACACACGGTAGGAGTGCAGAGTATAAGCAAGGTAAAGAAATAGATTTTAAACTAAACCATTTTTTTTATCTTACCGGGTAAAGCCCACTGAGCTATTAGCTTTTGTTTTAGAAGCGACGTGGCCACAAACGATAGCGCAAAGGAGTGGCTTATCATCACGTCGAAATGTATCGGGGCAAAATAATCAACAACGCACGTCGATTCCAAATGAGGGAAACATTGGAGGACCCGGAGGAAAAAAAATCCACGCGACCACGGGGAGAGAGCGAGAGACACAAATTCTAGATTTGAAGCTTTCGTGACTGCAAGGATTCATACTCTTAGTTCTTTCGGTAAAGACGCGTAGGTAAAAAATGAAATAAAAATTAATAAAATTATTGTTTTATTTTTATTAATTTAATTTCAAAAATGAAATTAAAATTAATACAATTATTGTTTTATTTTTATTAATTTTTATTTCATTTTTTAACCTACGTGACTTGACCGAAAGAACTAAGAGTATGAGAGACACAGACTCCAAATATACAGCAGCAGCAGCAGGCGGCGTCACGGGTGAAAGTGAAACATTCTGCGCGAGGCGTGGACGCTTAAGACGACCCTCGCCCCAGTGAAGCGGGCGCCACAACCGCACGTCTATCGCCTATTCCGCGCTCCTCAATAAATCATGAGGCCAGCAGCAAAAGGCCCGGCGAGAGGGACGCGCACAGCGCCGTCATTGTGCGCGCGTCAAAAGCCTCGCCATGCATTATTGATCTCGCTCGCTAACAATGCCGGTGGTGGTGGGTGGGGGGGGGCGACTCGTCGCTGTGTTACTCAAGCAGCAAGTGGCAAGCGAGGGACACGGAGAAGGGGCTCTCCTCGTCTCGTGGGGAGACCGGGCCTCCTGCCCAACTCTTAATCCGCGAACAGCCCCACCGGACGAGGCCGCAGTGAAGTGATGGTTTACACGGGCCCTGATACAATGGAATTAAATTAGTCCCTCCATACCGGTGCAATTTCCTCCCCTATTTTGTAGGCTGGAGCATGGGCCTTCTCGGGACCAAGAGTCGTGGTGTAAGTTACACAGCCTTGCAATGTCGAGAGCAACACCACTGATGCAGGTATGTCTGTAGGGTCTTCATATCAATGGGTCTCGATGTGAGTCTCTGAATCTATCTATACATCTGTAGGCGAGTGGCATAGTGTGGTTGACATGGGCCCTGGTGCAATGAATTAAGTAATGCACCACCACCACCACGCCCATCAG